AAATGACGGTCGCGACGCCCTTTCGCGAACCGAAAACGGCCAATCGACGTGCCAGGGTAGGAGGTCTATCAACCTCCGACGCCAAGAAAGCAAGACCAAGGAACCCGAAGAACCTTGTGACCGCTCGTTCCCTCCGGCCTCCGACGACCCAAGACGCCCCACGAGGCCCGCAATGGTCTCCACGATGTCCCCAAGAGGCCACCGCCATCACCCCAAAACCGGCTCGAGGCCCTCAAGATGGCCCAAAGACTACACAAGAGACCCCCAACATCGCCCCGAAAGGCTGTGCCATCGGCACCCCTTACGCCTCTTCATTAGTTTGACTGTGTGTTCCCTGTTCTCATCAATGCGTGTTCACTTCCTCCGCCAACCTCTCTCTCTCTATTCCTCTCTCTGTCCTCTTTGTTTGTATTGTTTCTCTCTCTCTCTCTCTCTTTCTTTATCTGTCTCTCTCTCTCTCTATATATATATATATATATATACATATATATAGCAGCTACTGCAACGCTCGGGAGGCGGCCAGCCTGAATATAGGATATTCAGTTTTTTTGTGTCAAGGCTCGAAAAGGCGGAAACTGCCCTACAGACGCGGTGGCGGCTCGAGAGACGCAGGCAGCCAGCAGACCGGCTTGCCTAAACTGACAGACGCCTCCAGAGATGAGGGTGGGAAAGGAGAAACGACACAAACGGGCGGGGGAGCTTGAGCAAAACCGGTTGCACACATATGTTGACGCATGTTTAGCCCTCAACACCGCTCCGCGGCACCCGTGCGGCCGCTCCAGCTCTACATCTCTGCAAAGCGATATAAAATCTCCCAGCAGCTACTGCAGCGCTCGGGAGGCGGCCAGCCTGCATATAGGATATTCAGTTGTTTGTGTCAAGGCTCGAAAGGCGGAAGCTGCCCTACAGACGCGGTGAAGGCTCGAGAGACGCAGGCAGCCAGCAGACCGGCTTGCCGAAACTGACAGACACCTCCCGAACCCCGCAGGTCGGACTGGCCGTTAGGCCGAAAGCCCCGCAGGGATCGCAACAAACACAAATTAAACTCCAAGCTGATGACCCATCCTGACGTCGCGGCACGCTTCGGCGGAGGACACCAATGCAGAGGCAAGAACAGTTGCGAATCTCTTCGGATACTCGGCGGCGATGAAGTCCACTTGCGCCCGCCCGGGGCGGCGCCGGAGAGGGCAACGTGATGTTTACCAGACTTAGAGCAGAGGCCGCCGCGACCACAACACTTCTTCGCAACGCAATCGAGGCAGGAGACGTGCCAGCCAACGATTCGCGTGGCCTTTCGCCACCGGGCGCCAAACTGACACAAGTGGCCTACAGCAGACGTGCACGATACATCAGACATGAGGCGCGCCAGGCGAGGAGCGGCCCACATGATTGAAGACTGTGGGTTCTCTAGCAAACAAGGCACGCCCAGAGACTTACAAAGCGAGATGATGCGGCAACTAAAACTGAACGTGTCATTTCCAAGCTGTAGCCGCGCCTGCTGCGCGGCAGTGAGGACAGGAACGCCCATGGGAGACTCAGTCGATCGAATTGGGAATCGGTTCGCACGTGACCAGGTCGTGCAAGGAGTGCCGAGGAAGACGCCCGCGATGATGCCGGCCTTCATCCACCCCGCAATCAGAAGCTCGAAGCGCCGGCCGAGATGGTTCTCGTCGGCACCGTTGGCAAGGTCCAGCGCGACGCAGCCGTGCCCGAGCGCCCTGAGCTCGGCCGACACGCGGCCACTGCCGGCGAAGACCTCCAGGAAGGCCTGGTGCCGCCGCCGTGTGGCGAGGCGCAGCTGAGCCGTAAGCAGGCCGCGGAGATGCCGCTCCACGCGCGCCGGGGAGGCTACGCACGGCGGCACCGCTTGGGCACGGGCGCGGCGGCCAGCCGGGCGGGCCCCACGAGCGCCGCTGCGGGCCCCGGCAACGTCTGGAGCAGCTCCGTGTTGAAGCCGTGCTCGAGGATCAGCGCGAAGTGCTCCTCCACCACCGCCCCGAGGTGAAGGGCCCAGTCCGGGGCCTGTGCCAGCGCGGCCTGGAGGTGCGTCTCCTTGGCGTACCTCTTCATGCTTGACGGCGCCGCCCACCGCCCTTGACGTTGGGTGCCCTCGATGGAGCGTCGCTTCGTCAGGATGTCGTGCGACGCGCCCCCGTGCCTCAGGGAGTACGGGGTCGGGTGGAGCGGGCCCAGCTTGAGGAGGTCGGAGCACCGGCTGAACTCCGCCCGGCACTGCACCACGGCGAAGTCCCAGAGCGACTGCGCGGCGACGGTCACCACTTTCAGCGCGGCCAGGATCGGCCACGCGAACGGGCCCAAGTCGAGGTGCACCGACTCGCCCCACAGGTTCGTCTTGCCCGGCGCACCCAGGTCGGACGGGTTGAGCAACGGCCCCTAGCTGTGGAGCCGCGTGTCCGCCACGGCCACGGGCGGGACCAGGCACGCCGCGGTGAGCCGCATCGCCTCGAAGGGCCTCCATGATGGCCATGCGCCGTGCGTCGTGGGCAATCATCGGCCCCGCGATGGCAAAGGCTGCTGGCCGGGGAAGCGGAACTCGGGTGGCCATCGGAATCCGCCGCTGCCAGCCGACCACCGACCGGGTCGCCCAGGGGAGCATGAACTTCCAGGCCCCCGTCAAGCCCGGCGTGTAGTGGGCCAGCGCCGCCAGGAACTGGGCGCCCTTGCTGGGGATCTCGCCGTTGAGGAACATGTGGTTCAGGAATGCCGCGGTCGCCCCGTCGAGCTCCGACATCGAGCTCCAGCCCAGGCGGTCGGCCGAGCAGAAGGCCGCGAAGCCGTTGAGGAGCGCGCGGTACGCCGCCTGCGTCGCCGGGCGGACGGCCGCCAGCTCCAGGTGGCTCAGCGTGCCGCAGGGTGCAGAGATCTCGATCAGCGCCGTAGCCAGCGACATCCGCCGGCGGACAGCATCGGTCGGTCCCGACGCCACCCGACGCCGCGGGGAGGCCCTGGCTCGGGGCATGGCCGCCCGCTCGCGGCCTTGAACCACCGCTGGCTGCGTCAGAGAACCAGGAGCGCTTACCCCGACTGAGAGGGTCCGATGGGTTGTACTCCGACGGAATCCACCGACACCGAAGGCGGGACCACGTTGCTAGAGACAGCATTGCGATCTTGAGTAATGGCACCTTCAGCAACGGCGACGAGGCACGGCCCTTCGACACGGCGAGGCAGAGCGGAATAATGTCGACGAGCGCCAGCAAGCGGCAGCCGAAGCACACACTTGAGCGACGCAGATGGCGGTACGACAGCAGCAGGGCCTCGGCCTCCAGCTCTAGGATGTTGTACCCTGGGTCGACGGCGGCAGCAATGACCCCACCCCAGCGGCACGGCGCAAGCAGCGATCGAGGAACTTCTTCGAACACGGCGGCCGACGGCTCTAGGAATGACGCGCCCCCGCCCCCGAACTCGGGGGGGAGGGGGGGATGGCGAACGCTGGGAGGAGGTAAGTCATCAGCGGCCTCGTCACGCAAGGCACTCTCTCGGGCCCTCTGGAAGCCGTCCACCCGATAGCGCCACCGCTCGCTAACGCGCCCGATCCGGGCCACCTCAGAGCGCGGCGCCCGGCGGCGGCACGCGCCCAGCCCGAACTCGCCGGCGTCCGAGCAGGTGACGCGGCTGCTCCAGGGGGCCGACAGGTCGCAGGCCAGCAGCGGCAGAAGGCACCGCACCTGCCACAGCTCCCGCCGGACCGCGGGCCGCAGCCCCTGGAGGTCGGCGCCGTTCACCTCGACGAAGGCGTAGGCCGTGTTGAGGAGGGCCAGGGCCTCTCGTCGAACGAGGGGCGTCCACGTGATGTGCCCCAGGAAGATCCGGAGGAGGTGGCCCGACACCTTCTTGCGGCGGAGGACCTCCTCGATGGCGTACCGCAAGCGCCAGACGTTCCGCCCCTTGACGGAGAGCCACCGCCCGGCGCGCAGCTCCAGGCCGAGGAAGGCACAATCCCCGGGCGCGCTCTCGGCGTCGTGGACGTGGAGCCCGACACTCTGGAGCTGCTCAGAGACCTGGTCGACCACAGCGTCGACGCGGGCGGCGCTGGCGCCAGCGGCCAGGTAGTTGTCCACGTACCCCGCGCATCCAACGTCCGCCGGCTGAGAGAGCGAAACCGCCGGCCGCCCGTCCTCTATGGTCAAGGAGCTGGGCACCCTGGCGCGGTCGATCGCGGCCCTCAGCACGCACTGGCACAAGTGCATGGACCACGAGAAAGCCCATCGGCATGACGGTGATGCACCCCTGCGCAGCACCATCAGGAAGGTCCGGGACGCCGGCGGCTCGAAGGAAGGAGCCGTCGATCGGCGGGAGCCGGAAGTAGTGCTCCATGCCGGAAGGCATGCGCATCTGGTATACAAAGCGTTGGTAATGTCGCCGGCGGCGACCAAGCATCGGCCTCCCTCCGCCTCCAGGTCCGAGAACGCCGAGGCGGTGGGGAGCCGCTTGGACGGGGCGCCCGCGAAGTACCAGTTCGCCGTCCGAGTACCGACTATCAGCCGAAGTGATCCGTCCTTCTTGGCCACGCAAAAGGCCCCCATGCACTTCGCGGAGGGGTCGTGGGCCACGAACGTCAGCATATCGCGCCGCCAGAGTTGCAGCAAAAAAGTCGGGGTAGAGGGTAGGCGAGCCGGCCAAAATTGGGCCCGAGTGCGGTCCGCGAGGGCAGGCCTCCCGAAGAAGCGATTCAGCATCTGCAACGGGACGTAGCATGTTCAAGCGCCAGTCCTCAAGCCACGAAGTGTCCGGCGTGTTGAGCAGGCCCTGCAGCGGCACGGCATGCTCTCCAGCGCGCGGCCAAGAGACGGAGTCCCTCGCATAAGGACGGGTGGGTAGCGGCGACCCTGCGAGGAGCTCACCAAAAGCCCCCTCGCGCAGCCGGCGCTCCTCGGACGGCTTGGACAGTCGCCGGCAGCGCCCGGTCACGTGCTCCAAGGCGCTCCGCTGGGCCGATGTGCATGGGCCCGACGGCGAGACGCCAGGGGAAGAAATCGAATTCATGCGCCGCTGACGCCCTTCGCCGGCGCCATGGCGCCGGCGAAGGGCTTTCCGAGACCGGCCGCGTCGAGGCCCCGCGGGTGCAACTGGAAGAGCCGGCAGCGGGAGCAGGTCACGCTGGCGACCGCCCGACTGCGAGCTGCCACAAAACTGCGTGGACCAAGCGCCGGGGGCACAGGGGTCCACTGGCGGGCAAGAAGGCGCGGCTGCTGGCTGCCCAGGTCCAACGGCCGACAGGGGGTCACCCGTCATCGTATTGATGGCCCTTCTTGTTGACCTTCTTCCCCTTGGTAGCCAGCGCGCGCTCCTCGCGCGCGCCTTCCGGCGCTCCTTCGCCACAGCCCACTCCTTCGTGAGCTCCTCCTTCAGGTGCTCCGCCAACTGCGGCGAGACGCAGATGTTGCCGCGGACCAGGTCGCAGCCCAAGATCAAGTGCGTGTCAAGGTTGTCGCCCTTCGTCTCCGGGGCGAGCCGCTCGCGGCACCGCTCCTCGTGGAGCTGCACGATGTGGGCCAGCAGCTCGCCCGACGCGAGGTCCACCACGTTCAGCTGGTCGTAGATCGTCATGAACTCGAGCAGCCTGCACGCGCGCTCGTGCTCGGCGACGCCGAACTCCAAGGCGTGCAGTCGGGCCTCAGTGCGCCATCGGGCGCGGCGCCCGAGGGGTGCCCCGCCGTTGGTCTCCATAAAACGGAGGACCCACCGGCGCGCACGCGGGCCCTTCACGGGCCAATCTGGCCACGCGTGCTCGACCATGGCCAGCACCGCCCCCCGAAAGGCCCGATGTCGCTGCCCGAGCATGTCGTAGCTCACCGAGAGGATGCGCACGTCGGTGGGGGCGGCTGGCGCGGCCGGCGCGACGGCCGCGGCGGCCCCAGCTCCCGGCACCGCCGCGAGGGCGGCCGGTGGGGGAGCCCCTCCAGCCCCCAGGCCCGCGGCTGCCGCTGCTGCCAGCATCGGCGGCACGGGCGGGGCCGCGCCTGCCACGGGGGGCCGCCGAGTGCGGCGGCCAGACCGGCGAGCCCGCCGACGCCCGCCGCGGGCGCTGCGGGGGCAGCGGCAGCGATCGGTGCCGCAGGCGCCGGAGCCGCCGCAGCCGCCGCTGGGACCAGTGGTGGTGCCACCAGCACGCCGCCCGCGGCAGGCGCGACGCCCGCCGCCGCCCCGGCGGCAAGCCCGGCGCCCAGAGCCGCCCCGGGTGCAGCGGCCGGCGGAGCCGCAGCGGGCGCCACCACGGCCGCGCCCGCGGCGGGCGCGCCCGCGCCAGCGGCGCCCGCGCCCACGCCGGGAGCCCCCACGCCGGCGCGGCCGGCGAGGTTGGGCACCGCCCGCGGCCCCGGCGGGAACCCGAGGCGGCCCTCGGTCGCCGTGCGCAGGGCGTCGCAGGTGGCGGGCGCCGGCACGGCGCGGAAACGGTGGATGTGGGCTGCTCCCGTCGCTGGGTTGCCGGCCCCCATCGCACCGCCGACGCTCGGCAGCCAAGCCGCGATGTCGGCGCCAGGGGTCCCTGCCGCGAACAGCTGCTCCTCGTAGCAGTCGCCGTCGGGGGTCAGGATCGTGAGGTCGGTCCGATACGGCGAGGCGATCAGCACCATGCGCTCGTGCCAGACCTCCGGCCCCGCGATGTCGTAGCGCTCCAGGATAAAGTCGCCCGGCGAGATCCCCAAGCTGGCGAGGTAGGCGGCGACGGGGGCCGCCATCACTGCTGAAAGCCGAGCCGGCGAGCGCGGATCTCGCGCGCCTGCTGAGCTCCGATGTCCTCCAGGGGAGCGGGCGGAGCCACGAACGGGCCCGACGTGGCCGGCGGGCCAGCAGCCGGCGGCTCGCCCGCGCCGCTGTTGCGCAGCGCCAGCAGGACGCTGCAGGCGCCGGCAGCGGCCGACACCGCCGCCAGGGGGAGGGTGCCGTGTTCTCCGAGCTGTGGCCGCCCGGGCAGGTGATGCGCGGCTCGCACGTGCACGAGCAGGGGGGGCACTTCACGCCCGCCGAGGAGGAGTACGCGATGACACCAGCGCCTGCAGCCTGGCCGGCTTCCCTCAGCAGCTCCCACGCTGCTGAGTAGAGCACCTCCATCAGCGAGCCCGCGGGGCCCAGAGCTTGAGCAAAAACGGTTGCACACATATGTTGACGCATGTTTAGACCTCAACACCGCTCCGCGGCAACCGTGCGGCCGCTCCAGCTCTACATCTCTGCAAAACGATATACAATCTCCCATACATCTACACTGTTTACGGTCCTCTCCATATTAACTGCGCACTACTTTGTTGAATAATTACTCTCGACTCTCTCCGCTCAACTCTGCTTCGCACTGCCGGGCACATATGAACTTTTTGCTCTCTACGATCCACTCGCTCACCAACACCGCGTTTGCAAAGACTCGGGAACCTTGCATTCTCCAATTAAAACTCTCACTCGCTGTGGTCAGTTCTGCTCGGAACTCGCTGACACCTCCACTGTTTGCGAGCAAAGACCTAGGGTCCACAACCCTGGGACCTGACGCTGCCAGGAACCCTGGAACCATGAACCACTGGGACCCTGGCCACCTACCAAAACCTAACACTGCCAAGAACGCCAAACCCGAAAACTAGAACCTGGGAACCACCGACATCGGTGCCGAACATTCGCCTACTCTTTCAGCATCCGTTGGCAAGGACCCCGCCAGGGCAAGCACTGATCGGGGAGCACCAGCGCAGAAACCTCAGGACCAGTGTCGCCCAGGACACCTTTACTTCATGGCATCCGACAGCCGACACAAGAAACCCGCGCAGACCTCTGACAAATCATGCTTATGCCGCCCCTTCTTCTTGTTATTATGTGTTTATCATGTGCGTTTTTATTATCCTCTGATTGCGAATCTGATCACTGCTACTTTCCAGAACTATTGTTTTTCATTTTTTTCTTCATCTTCTTCTTCTCCTCCTTTTTGTTGTCTTCGAGCTGCTGCTCTCCAGGCCGACCGCCCGGCAAATCGTCCCCGTCTGGCAGGTCGTCGAACGAGGAGGCGAACTCGGCGCCGCGCACGCCGCCGCTCTCCAGGTTGAGCTCGGCGGGGTCTGGCAGGTCGTCGAACGAGGAGGCGAACTCGGCGCCGCGCAGGCCGCCGCTCTCCAGGTTGAGCTCGGCGGGGTCTGGCGGGTCGTCGAAGGACGGCGCACGGGCGCGGCAGGAGGCGACCCCCCCCCCCCTGCGCCCTCTCGGAGCGGGGGGGAGAGGAAGCGCACGCACCGCCTCCTGAAGCTTGCAGCCACCGTCCTGCCGTGAGGAACTCCGGACGCCAAGCCGGCCCAGAGCGGCCCAAGGGGGGACCCCCCGGAGTGCTCCACAGGAGGCCAAGAACGGGCGTGAGGGAGGGGGATGTAGTCATCGTGCTACCACAAGGAACGCTGAATGAGGACGAAGAGGCTTTTCTGGCCACGGCGAGCCTCGGCCACGAACATGCTCTGTTCTCCGACCTACATAAACCTCACGAACTGCCCAACAAACCAAAGCCCTTCCTGAGGCCGCCGTGGCCCTGACTTCAGCGCCTCGACTGTAGACAAAGAAGAAGACGAGAAGAGAACCTCCGGCAATGCTTGGAAGCGAGTGCCTCACATCTGCGACGGCCCTCCCGAGTCTCGGACGCGCCGTGTCCCAACGCCCCCGGCCTCCCGTGGTCCCTCCAACAGTCGCCGCCGAGCATGCTGGGCTGGCACGGTGGCAGGCCTTGCCGCCGGCAGCTGCAGGAGGCACCAAGGGAGCTGTCCAGCCACGGCCAGCCTGGGCCACGAAAGGGTTCCCCAAGCTACAGTGGAGGCCAGTCCACAAGAAACCTTCCACAAGAACCCCAACCCTGAGACTCCAAGACGTTCGTTGATTTTTGGTGTGGGAATGTCGCGCCTTCCATCGCATAATCATCGAAGCTCAACAAACCCAGGCTGGAGGCAAGCAAGGTGTTTCTTGGCATGGGCCTCCGCTGTAGCTCTAGGGAGCGGCCCGAAGACCAGAGCCGCTCCAGATCCGAAGGCGCCCCTCGTTTCGGAGCCTCGGCTCTCGAGGCAGTGGGGGGCAGAGGGGTGGTGCTTACGCTGTCTGGGACATCCGCTGGGCATACGGCACGCCTACGTCTTGCAGATCACCTGATCCCGCGCACTCCAGGGCGGCGATGCGCTTCCTTCCCCCAGTCCGAGGATCGACCCAGACCTCCAACGCCTTGAACAGAAGCCATCGAGGTGTTTCACAACGTTCAGCGTCGAAAGGCAATTTGTTCGGCCGTGGGGCCCACGGAAAAATAACTCGAGTGTTGGATTCTGGGGAGGACCGTGGGTTCGGAAGTCTTTCTGCGTTCCCTTGGCTCCAGAATCTCCAAAAAGACTCCGCGGAGGCTTGCGGGGACCCCCTCCACAGACATCTGGCGCTCCAACTCAATCGGCGCGCGGACACCTGGAGGTCTGGGCAGCATCCCTAGCGCAAAGCCTTATCCCGAGCAACGTTTGGACGCCGGAGATCGCCAGAAACGGGCCGCTCCAATGTTGTCGAGGCCTCGGACCTCTGGGTCTCGACCTTCCGCGCCCGGGGGCCAGGAGTCGGGGGCGTCGTCCAAGAGGGGGGGGGGCGTCCAAGAGGGAAAGTATAATGAGATAAGAACCTGGGCCATGAGAGAGACCCATATGAATAATGTATGAATGAATGAATAATGAGGGGGTCTGGAGAACGTAGAATGGTATATGAATGAGATAAGAGACCGAGGGAGGCATCCCAAGAGACCGTCAGATGCATCCAAGAGTCTTCTGATCCAGGATATGACTTCCAAGATCGTCTCAAACACTCACTCCTGGTGGGGGTCGGCGGAATGGTGCAAGCCACTCCAATTGGAATCTGGACCATGGAAACAGGCGAGATATCATGGCTGTGGCCATGATGTCCCCCCCCCGGGTCATCACCCCCTCTTAGACGCCCACCCCACCCCCCCCAAAAAAACGGGGCAACCACCTCGTGCCCACGCCCGGGAGGAGGCGACGCCTGCGCCGCGGGCGCCGCCGGCCTCCTGGCTGGGCTCGGCGGGGCCCAGCGCCGCCTGCTGGGCTTGCTCCCTCCCTCCAGTTCTCCAGTCGGCTGCTCCTGCTCCTGCTCCTCCGCCTCCCTCTGCCCCTCGGATCGGACGAGAGGGGGGGAGAGATAAGAGGGGGAGGAGGAGGTGGTGGAGGAGGAGGAGGGGAAGGAGGAGGAGGAGGAGGAGGAGGAGGAGGAGGAGGAGGAGGAGGAGGAGGAGGAGGAGGGGAAGGGAGGAGGAGGAGGAGGAGGAGGAGGAGGAGGGGAGGTTGTGGAGAAGGAGGGAGGTGAGGAGGAGGAGGAGGAGGGAGGAGGAGGAGGAGAAGAGGAGGAGGGGGAGGGGGAGGAGGAGGAGGAGGAGGAGGAGGAGGAGGAGGAGGAGGAGGAGGAGGAGGAGGAGGAGAGGGGAGGGGGATAGAAAGAAGGGGGCTAGCGAATCGGCTCACGCGGCTGGTTCTCCCGTCGCCTTGCGGCGCTGGAGGCGCCAATAAAATTCGCCAGCCCAACGGGCCAGAGGCGTGCTAAAATCTCCGGTAACAAACGGCAGTTCTAGTTCGCGCGAGCTGGGCGGCCCCAGGGCGTCCGCGGCCGACAAAAACCCCAGGCAGGTCCCGGGCGCCGCCCTCGGGGCCTCCCAAGAGCGGCCCAGAGCGGCCCAGAGGCCCAACAGAGACCCTCCAGATGGTTCTAGCGGCCTCCGGGACACAACAGGATCGCTCCAGGACGCCAAAGATGGCCCCAAGACGGCCCAAGAGGCCTCCAAGAGCATTCCCCAGAGGGCCGAAATAAGCATAAATCGGATATTTTGAATGTTGTTTCAATGTTTTTCGCGTTCGCGCGTTTTCGAGCTTCCGACGCTTCAGGATGGCACAAGAGGCCCCCGAGACAGCCCCAAGACGGCCGAGAGGCCCCTAGGAGGGCCCCAAGACGGTCCAAGGGGGCCCCAAGGAGGCCCCAAGACGGTGCCAAGATCGTCCTAAGAGGGGCCCAGGAGGGGAAACACGAACCGCCAATTCGAGCCTTCCGCCCCAAAAGGTGCCCAGGAGACCCCAAGAGACCCCCACGAAAGCCCAGGATGCTCCACGAGGTCACCAAGAGGCCCAAAAAGAGGCCCCAAGAGGCCCCACAAGAGCCCCCAAGAGGCCCCACGAGGGCCAAGAACGCGCAGGCAAACGCCTGCGACGACACAGTACGGGCCGGCGGAATGAGCAAAGCGATTGCATGAACATGGTTAGAAATGACCAGTTGCATCAGCAACACGAGTCAGGGGGCCGTCCTGTGGCGGATATTATTATTACTTCGTTTACTCTTATTATTCTTATTATGCGTGTTAGTATGATTAGTATTCGTTTTCTTTTTTCTTCTTCGAGGCAACTGCCCCTGACGCTCACGACCCCTTCCCTGGGACCGCCTTTTCATCCTAACTCGTTCTCTCCTGAACATGGATCCAAACCCGGGTCAACCAGGCCTCGAAACATCCTGCAAGATCCTGCAACATCCTGCACCCAAATACGGGTCAATAGATCCTGCAAGATCCTGCACCCAAGCCCGGGTCGATGCGACCCTTGCCCTGGAGGATCCTGCAAGATCAGGCGCTCTGGCTGACACACGTTTGCATTGACCCCGTGTCAAGGCTCTCGAATGGAACCGCGGTTCCCGAAACCGGAAATGGCGAAACACCCGCGACGTACTCTTTGAAGACGCTGGAGGCCCGGGCCCACGCCCCACGCGTCTTGGCCACATCTCCTGGGAATCCAGCTCTAACCTGATGTTGCTCGCATCGTACTACAGGACCACATCCCAAAATGAATTTCGAGCAAAAGTGTCGAAACAGTGTCGAACGAATGTCACCCCCCAGGGCCCGACACTTGAAGACCCTCACGTTTCGGTGCTTGCTCGGTGCTCGAAATTCTCCACGGTGATCCAGGCGAAAGTGGATTGGAACATCATAATTCCAGCCACGCGGGCGCCCCAGGGCGCCCAAGAAGCCTCAGGAGCAGCCAGACGCCAGCCTCTGTCCTCGATCCCAATCTACAAATCTGGCCGCACTTGACTATTTTGGCGAAAGTGCAAAACGAAACCATATCTTCAACAATCATATACATTTTTTATAACAAGCTCGAGTGGGCGCCCCGCGGCTGAGGAGAGGAGAGGACACCAGCAGGGGGGGGAAAAACAAGACGAGAGGCAGCAGCAGCAGCAAGCAGTGCAGACAGGCGCGGCCGCGGCCGCTACCTGGCACCCCGACTTTGCGGGGTGCCGCTCTCAACCCCTGGCGCCCAGCAGGCCCGCGAGCTCGCAGAGCTCGACCCTGCCCAGCCGCGCCGCCCGCCCCACAGGGGGGAAAGGCGCGCGCCCCGCGCCCGGGGCCGCTCAGGCCCCGCCAGCCCCGCCCAGGCGCCGCGCCGCCGCTGCCAACGCCGCGGGCCCGTCCACGGCGGGGTCGCCCTCCGCAGCCGCCGCCAGCTGCGCCGCCTCCGCCGCCAGCTCTGGGAAGGCCCGGAACGCCTCGGCCCCCGCCCGGAGCTCCCGCGCCAGCTCCGCGGCCGGGAGCTTGCACAGCCGCCGCGTGGCGTCAACCCCCGCCGCCCCATGAGCAGGGGGGCCGCTTCCGCCGCGACGGCGCCGGCCTGGCGGCGAGCGACGCGCGCGCCTTGGCCGCTCGGCCGCCTCCAGCACCCGCTCGACGACCCGCCGGCGGCCCAGCGCATCCGGGATCGCCGAGGCGGCCTCCTCGAGCCGGGCACACGCCTCGCGGAAGCCCAAACCGCGAATGGCGACGCGAAGCGCCGGCGCCAGCGCGCGCGCTGCCGCCCACCCCGAGCTGGCCAGGCCATCCCGCAGCTCCTGCACGAAATCCTCCCTGGAGATTCCGTCGCGCTCCACACCGTCGCCCTCCGCCCGCGTGGGGGGGGCCGGGACCAGCGCGCCCGCCGCGGCGGCGCTGGTGCCAACGCTAGGCGGGCTGGCCGCCTCAGAACCGTCGCCCTCGTGGAGGGCCGGAGGCCGCGCCGCCTCTGCGCAGGGGCGGGAGTCTGCGCGGGGCGACCCAACAGCAGCCCCACCAGCCGCGTAACCGTCGCCCACGGGGGGGTCCGGGGGAACGTCGTCCTCCGAGAGGTGCACCCAGCAGCGCTCGGCCGGGCGCACGCCGGGCAACCGCGGGACCGCATCGTCCAGCGGGGCCCCGCCGCAGGCCGAGCGCTGGCGCGGAGGCGTGGCAACCGCGGTCGCGCCGCCCTAACGCCCTGGCGCGCCACGCCAGAGCCCCAGCGCGTCGTAGCTGGCATCGGCCGATGTCGATGACTCCGGAGGGGCCGTCGCCCTCGGCTCCGCAGCCGGGCGCACCGTCGCTGCCGGAGCTGACGCTCGGGCATCGGGGGCTCAGGGGCCCGCAGCAGCCGGGCTCACCGTCGCTGCCGCTCAGGAGGCTCGGGGCACCTCCCATTGCAGGAGGATCGCCTTCCTCCCGGACGCCTCCGGGAGATCCACCGCGGAGAAGCCCTGCCATCCCGCCTGGTGCAGAGCTGCCGCGACCAGCTGCGCACTGGGGGCCCCCCCCACGGCAGCTGGCTGGGGCCCTACCGCGCCGGCCGCTGGCGCTGAGGGCGGAGCCGTCGCTGTCTGAGCAGCCGGTGCCGTCGCTGCCAGAGCAGCCGGAACCGTCGCTGCCGAAGCAGCCGGGGGCGCTGCCTGCGGCGCCGTTGCGGCGGCTGGACCGACCCGGGCGGCGCCGCTGGCGCCGCTGTCGCTGTAGCCGCTGCTGCTGTCGCTGCTGTCCTCCTCGCTGCTGGGCGGACAGCTGCCGCGGCCCGGCGCTGGCGGCTGCCCCTTGGACTCCGGAGGAGGAGGCGTCGTCGCCAGCCGCGACGGCTGGCGCGGGGCTGCTGCCTTGGACGTCGCCGCGGGAGCAGGGCCCTGGCCGCGACGCGTCCGACTCCGCGAACGCCGCCCATTGCCCCAGCCCGCCGATCCCTTGCCACGCGCCGGCGCCCTGGCGCCGCTGTCGCGGGGCGTACCGCCGCGGCTGCTGCCACGCCTCGCCGCCAGGGGAGCCCTGGCGGAGGGATCTGGTCCAGGGCTCGGGCTGCGCTGGCGCCGGCGGCGTCGCCGCCCCGACGTCGGCTCCTCGGAGCGGCCCCCGCGGCGGCCCGATGCCCGCGCCGAGCCCCGCGCCGGGCTCCTCCGCGCCGGGGGCGCCGCTGGCCGCTGCCGCCACGGCGCCGCTGGCGCAGCCGGCGGCGGCGCCGGCCGCACCGCACGCTCCGCCAACTGCGGCCGCCGCCGCCTCTGCGGGCGCAGCGGGTGCCGCGCCTGCCCGGGCCCCGCCGCTGGCCCCCCCGAGCCGGACCCCTGGGGCGGGGGCCACCGGCGCCGTGACGAGCCTGGCTGGCCCCCACCAGCACGCCCAGGCCCAGCCGTCAGGGAGACAGGGGACGGCCGCCCAGCAGCCATCCCCTTGCATGCGCGGCGCGCGCCCCGCGCGCGCCGCCCCCGGCCCCCGCCCGACCCGCGGGCGCCCGGGCGCCGGGGCGCCCTTGAGCCAAAATGGCTTGAGCCAAAATGGCTACGGACCTCAACAATCATATACACACACACGCCAACGCATCCCACCGACGGAGCGGAGCGGGGGGTGAGAGGACGGAGGAGCATGCGATGGGAGTGCGAGGAGAAAATGGAAGGAGCAGAAGGGGGGAGCGGGGAGGAGGAGGCCGAGGACCAGAGTGAAACAGGCATGCGTCAACGATGTTGCAATACACCCTCCCATCCTCTTCTTCCTCCTCCTCCTCCTCCTCCTGCTCCTCCCCCTCCTCCTCCTGGGCCCCATATAACTATTCCTTTCCACTGCGAGAACCGCCTCTCCTCGAATGACGAGCGTCTAGTAAGCCTGCCTCACGGACGAGCCCCGATTTTGTAACGGGTATCATCCCTCCAGCTGAAGGACACGCAGAGGCAGGATGCAAAAATTCAAAGACAACAGCGATAAACCCCGGTTTGAGAAGGATCTGCCCTCCAGCCGTGCAAATCTTGCACACATTCAGAATTGTGTCCACAGAGATTGCAAGATCCTCAGCAGAACCACCATGTCAAAGCGCTGCCGCCCTCCATACGTGGAATATTTGCTCCAGTGTTGGACGTCGGGTCAACGAATGTGAGGTCTCTGGCGTGAACCCCTTTGAGAACGAACCGAAATCCGTTCTTGCAACAGTTGTAAGCTGGTAAGAAAATTTGCGCGGCGCTGAGGCGAGAACCCAATGCTCAACACGACCAGTCATCGTCTTTGTAACTGCTGCAAGCCTTTGTAGCGAGTGTGATCAGCGATGGGGCGATAGTCCCATTTTGAAAACGACGGGCCCTCCACTCTTGCCGCAGTTGCAAACTCTTGAGTCGAAAATGTGCGGCGCTAAGGCGAGAGCGCCATTCTGAAACCGACCGGCTCAAGATCCTTGTAACTGCTGCAAGTGTTCAACACGAATGTTGCCGGCGCTGCGGCGATAACCACTTTTGAAAAACGACTGGCCGTCCGTCCGAATGACTGTTTGAGTTCTTCATCTACAGAACCTGATCGGACAAGAACGGGAAGCGCCGCTTTAGTCTATTGGGCGTATTCGGCGAAGAAGAAAAGGAAGGCGAGGACAACGAGGAGTCGATGACGAGGACGACGTGGCGAACGTGAGGATAGCGCGGAGGAGCATGAGGACAACGAGGAGGAAGAGAAGCACAAGGACGATGACGAAGAGAACGAGGGCGAGTACGAGGACGAATGCGGAGGGCAACGACGACGACGACGACGACGACGACGACGACGACGACGACGACAGAGGACAGTACGAGGCAATTGGAGAAAGACGTTGCTCCTGGCGCCGCGCGGGGTTCTCTTGGGGCCTGTTGGGGGCTTCTTGGGGGCCCCTTGGGTCCTCTTATGGGCTTCTGGGGTCTTCTTGGGCTGTCTGGGCGCGTCGTGGGGTTCTGTGGGAGCTTTCTTAGGCCGTCTCGGCGCTGGGGGCCTTCTGGGGCGCTCCCGGGAGCCTCTTGGGGCCTTCTTGGCCCTTCTTGGGCCGTCTTGGGGTTCTTGTGAGCTGTGTGGGTGGCTCTAGAGCGCTCTTGGGGGTCTCTGGGGGTCTTCTTGGGGCGCTCTTGGGCGCTCCTGGGGCTCTCCGGGGCGTCTTTTGGGCCTCCCTTGGGCCGTTGGAAAACACTCCAAGAGCGATTCGAACACGACGTCGACGTCTTGGCGTTATCTTGGACTGTCTGGGCGTTATCTTGGACTGTCGTAGGGCTCTAGAGGCCTGATTGGGGCCCGTGGGGAGCATTTTGGGAGCCTCTTGGAGGCTTCTGTGACCCTCTTGGACTCAGGCGTCTCTCGAGGGTCTGTGGGGGCTCTCTTGGGCTGTCTTGGCGTTCTCTTGGACCGTCTTGGGGCTCTCTTGGCCAGTCCGGGGGCCTCTTCGCGCGCTCGGGGGGGCCTCTGGGCGCCTCTTGAGGGCCTCTTGGGGGTCTCTTGGGCCGTTTTGGAGGTCCCCTGGGGGGCCTTTGGGGGCTCTCTTGGGCAATTTTGAGGCCCTCCGGGAGCGACTCCAAGATAAAGCCGGTTCGGAGTCCCCTCCGGAGCCGATTTTTCGAGGATGTCTCAAACGAAACAGCCATTTTTCCGGAACCTGACCGGACAAGAACGGGAAGCGCAGTTTTTTAACCACCACGTGCGTCAGAGACCGTATTGGCGAGAACGTCAGAGAACATCCCTGTTGCGTTTCCTGGCTTCGGCGCCGTCTTGGAGGTATCTTGGACGCTATTGGGGCTGTCGTAGCCTCTGGCCTCTCGGGGGCCTCTTGGGGGAGTCCCGGGGGGGGCCTTCGGGGGCTCTATGGGGCGATATGAAGCTCTCAGGGAACTCCTGGAGCCTTTTCGCGCGTTCTGGGGGACTTCTGGCCGCCTCTTTGGAGCCCCTGGGGGGCTTCTTGGGGGTCTCTTGGGGCGTTTTGAGCGCTCTGGCGGGCCTCTGGCCGCCCCTTGGGGGCCTCTTGGGGGTCTCTTGGGGCGCTCGGGGGGTCCTCTGGGGGGCCTTCGGGGGCTTTCTTGGGCCGTTTGGAGGCCCTCCGGGAGCGATTCCAAGATAATGCTGTTTCGGAGTCCCCTCCGGAGCCGATTTTTTGAGGACGTCCCGAGCGAAACGGCCAATTTTCCGGAACCTGACCGGACAAGAACGGGAAGCGTCCTTTTGTCCCCTGGGCTTATGAGATATTCCACGTTTTTAGTACGGCATACCACAGCAGTGCCACGTACCACTGCCGTGCTTCTTTGGGGTCTGCCGTGCTCCTGTGGAGTTTGCCGTGCGAACGTGTGGTCTGCCGTGATCCTGTGTGGTCTGGCGTGCTCCTGTATGGTCTGCCGTGCTCTTGTGTGGTTTGCCGTGCTCCTGTGTGGTCTGCCGTGCTCCCGTGGGGTCTGCCGTGTCCTGTGTGGTCTGCCGTGCTCCTGTGTGGTCTGCAGTGCTCCTGTGTGGTCTGCCGTGCTCCTTCTTGGTCTGCCGTGCTCATGTGGGGTCTGCCGTGCTCCTGTGCGGTCTGCCGTGCGAACGTGTGGACTGCCGTGCTCATTTGGGGTCTGCCTTGCTCCTTTGTGGTTTGCCGCGTTCCTGTGTGGTCTGCCGTGCTCCTGTGTGGTCAGCGTGCTCCTGAGGCGTATACGGTGCTCTTTTGGGGTCTGCCGTACTCATTTGGGGTCTGCCGTGCTCCTGTGGTCGGCCGTGCTCATTTGGGGTCTGCCGCGCGCCTGTGAGATCTGCCGTGCTCCTGTTGGGGAAACGCCAGCGGCGTTCGGGGTACAACAAAAATGCGCGTTTATGTTGTACCCGCGCGCGGTCTGCCATGCTCCTGTGGGTTCCGCCGTGCTCCTGTGGCGTCTGCCGTGCTCCTGTGGCGTCTGCCGGGCTCCTGTGTGGTCTGCCGTGTTCCTTTGTGGTCTGCCGTGCTCCTGTGGAGTCTGCCGTGCTCCTGTGTGGTCTGCCGTGCTCTTGTGGTCTGCCGTGCTCATTTGGGATTTGCCGTGCTCATGTGGGGTCAGCCGTACTCCTGTGTGGTCTGCCGTGCTCCGGTGGTCTGCCGTGCTCCTTTGGGGTCTGCCTTGCTACTGTGGGGTCTGCCGTGCTCCTGTGTGGTCTGCCGTGCTCCTGTGGTTTGCCTTGCTCCTGTGTGGTCTGCCCTGCTCCTTTTGGGTCTGCTCTGCCGTGTTCCTGTGGGGTCTGCCGTGCTCCTGTGGGCTCTGCCGTGCTCCTGTGGGTTATATTGGCGTGACCTCTTGTGTGGTGTGCATGATCTCTTGTGGCTAGGCCAGGCTCCTGTTGGGTATGCGTGTGCTACTGTGTGGCTGCGTGCTCTTGTGTGGTCTGCCGTGTTCCTGTTGGTCTGCCGTGCTCTTCTGTGGTCTGCCGTGTTCCTATGGGGTCTGCCGTTGTTCGGCCGTCTTGAGGGCACTCTTAGGGCATAGTCTGCCGTGCTCCTCGTCTTGGTCTGCCGTGCTCCTCGTCTTGGTCATCCTTTCCGTCGTCCTGAGGGCGCTCTTGGTGCCTGGTCTGCCGTGCTCC